AAATTTTGGTCAATGACATGAGACAAAGTATATGTGAACTGCTGTATGAAAAGTGAATTTACTCTGTAAATCTTCACCCAAATCCTAATAAAAAAAAAATGCAAATATATAAAGTCTTTGAGGGTCTGTTTCAGTTATCTGTTTCTGCTTGTTCTGTCTCATGATGCATTATTTTTTATATGCTTTTTGCATATGCCTATTTACTGCTCAAGGAACTCTGGTAGCATAGTACCTAAGGTACTTGACTGCTAACCAGAAGGCTGGCTGTTCAAACCCACCAGCCACTCCTGGGAAGGAAGGTTGGGCAATCTACTTCCATAGTGATAATGCCTCAGAAAGCCAAGAAGGGGTCACTGTAAGTCAGGTGCGACTTGATGGCATATAACAACAATTTACTGTTCATTGTCTTTGAGAAATATATGTAAGAATTAATGAATAATAGAGGCTGAGGTTGCCTTCCTCCAGAGATGATTTGCGTTTGTTTATGCCAGGTGCCTAGGAGTACTACTAGTCTGTTCATTTAAATTGATAACTTGAGGATTTATGGACCACCCATGTGAAGTGAAAATTGAGCTGAAAATCCATATGAGGGCCAGTTTATTTCTTTTCTTTCTTAAGTATGTACCCCTATAGGGACCCAGCCTAAGGAAAGTTTTCCTGTAGACTCTACTTTGGGTGGACCCTGGCTTTGATTTTTGTCCCCTTTGACCTATGAGACCATTAAAACCAAGGTTCAAAGTTGCCTGATTAACAGATTACCTTAAGCTAAAAGTAATTCCAGCTTTCTCTTAAATTTTGGTCTGATCATTTGTTACTGTTTTGTCAATTCTTTCATTCTTTTTGGACTTATTTTAAACATATTTTATCCAGAATTTTCAGTTGCTTTCTATGAGAGAGTAATCCGGTAATCTAGCTCACCATTTCTGAAAATGGAAGTTTCCCACTACATAGATATTTGAAATTTCTGAATTATGGATTTTTTTCATAATCACATTTTCCCATTATTCCACACTCCTCCTCCCCAAGTTATAAATATTCTCCTATGCATTAGTCTTGTACTTTTATGGTTTTATTTTTCCACCAAAATCTCTAGTTCATCATGAATGTACTTTTTGTACATGGTTATTATTCATATTTAGATCTGTCACCTGAATCTAATATCTCGATTATATTTCAGGAGCACTGGACATCCAGAGCTGTTTTGCAGTTCCAGAAGTTGTGTGGTTTGAAGCCATTAGTGGGGGTAGTGGATGAATATATAGATGGAATCCTTAACATTTTTCTGTGTGATACCACCTCCAATGAAGATGTCTACTTCCATCATGTCTTGAGAACAGAGGGCTATGCAATTGTATGCCAAGAAAATGTCCCTTCTAAGGTGGCACATTCTGTATTTTGTAATATATTTTACTTAACACTTCAGAGTAGAAGATAATTTAATGAAAAATAAAATAATGGATTTGATTATTTATTTATTTATTTTTTGTAATATTAGAGATACCCATGAGATTCCTGCCTTTCAAATGTAGAGCATCCTCTTAACTTTCAGGTGACCAGAGAAAACTACATTTGGCTTATTGTCCTTAAGAATATGACTTTTTTTTTTTAAGAAAATAATTGATTGAGGAGTCTATCTTACACCAAGATATTTAATTTTCTTAGGCCTTCCTAAAGAAAAACAAGTCTTCTTTTGCAGTTATTTTTAGTGATGTCTATATAACCATTAATACAGATATTGATAATTTTCGTAAATAGGAAAAACAGTCAATATGCAGAAACTTTTTAACCATTAAAATTTAGAAGACAATACATTCCATAGCAATTAAAAATTATGAAGTCCTATTTCATGTTGTTTTTCTTGCTCATATAATCAAACTGTTCTTCCTTTTTCTAAAAATCCTAGGGTTTCAGAGAACTCAACCCTTTAGCTTTGTACACTGAATCCAGTCCAGAGGCAGAGGATGTTGTCTTAACAGAACTGGGTTACCCTTCCCAGCAGCACTATTTTAATGAAGGCCAAGAGATAAATCCACAATCGAAAGAGAATGAGCCACCTACCCTGGTAAGAGGTTTTTGCCAACATTATAATTTTTTAATTATTCTTAACATTTATTGAACACTTCCTATTTGCCAAGAACTATAAAAAGTGTTTTAAGTATGATATGTAACCCTCATAAAAGTCTCCATAAATATCTTCATTTTATAGATGGAGGAGACCAAGGCTTAGAAATGTTCAGAAATTTTGCACAGTGATCTTACAATTACTTTGTCTGTCATTATTTGCTGGTCTAGTCCTTTGCGTCAGTCATGCTTGAATGATTTCTCTAAAATCTATTGCTGCCTTTGTACAGTTGTGACTTACCCTACACTAATTCAAATACTATTCTTCTTCCCTCAACACTACTCACATTCTTCAAGTATTCTCATTTCCTACTTTCTCTATAAACCTTTTGACAACTCCAGTTCACAGTAATAACAATAACATTATTATATTATTGTATATTACTCTAATTTACAGGAATATTAATGATAATAACATTTATTAAACTTGTGTGACAAACACTGTTCTAAGTATTCACATATATTAGCTAACTTAATCTTCACAATAACCTTAACCTGGTTGGTACTTTCACATTCACATTTTAGAGATGCAGAAAGTGAGGCACATAGTAAGAAATGTTTTTTAAATAAATGAGCATGCCCTCTGAGTCTTCTATTCCTTGTAACAAAAAGCATTGGGCTAAGAATATAGGATGTACAGTTGATTCTTATTATTCACAGTAATTATGTTCTATAATGTCCCCATGAACACTGAATTGCCAATACTGAACCAGCCTTGCTAGACCTCAGCTAGAACACATGCATTGGGCATCTCAACATTTTTGTGCCATTGTGCTTGTCCACAAATTATGTGAAAGTGCTGTGATTATTGATTCTGGGGTTACAAATAAATTTTAGTGAGTATGTAAATTCACAAACACAGAAACTGGGGATAATGAGGATCAGCTGTATTTAATTTGAGCAAGTAACCAAAAATATTTTTGGATACTCCAAGGTCTTTTTTTTTCTTTGAATAAAATATTAGAAGTTAAAACATTTTATATGTCTGACTTTTAAAATAAAATTATGGAGATGATCTTAGTTTTTAGTAGGCATTTACTGATTATTATAAATGATAAAAAAGAAAGGCCATTTTAGCTACTTAAAGACTAACCTGTATGAATATTTACTGCTGCATGTTCTAAACAATACATGAATTTTAGATTTCTGGTTTATGTTAGGGAGCTCTGGTGGCATAAGTGCCTAAGGCATTTGACTGCTAACCAGAAGGCTGTCAGTTCAAACCCACCAGCCACTCATCAGAAGGAACACTGGGCAATCTACTTCTGTAGAGATACCACCTTGGAAACCCAAGGAGGGGTCGCTATGAGTCAGAACTGACTCGATGGTAGTGAGTTTTTTTTTTCTTTTTAGTTTATGTTAAAATTAATGAGGCTTGTTTGTTGTTGTTAGGTACTGTCGACTCAGTTTCACCTCATAACTACCCTGTATACAACAGAACAAAACACTGCCCAGCCCTGCACCAGCCTCACGATTGCTGTTATGTTTGAGCCCACTGTTGCTGCCACTGTGTCAATCCAACTCATTGAGGATCTTCCTTTTTTTCACGGACCCTCTACATTACCAAGCATGATGTTCTTCTCCAGAGACTTGGTCCCCACCTGATGACATATCCAAAGGACGTGAGACAAAATCTTGCCATCCTTGCTTCTAACATGCTTTCTGGCTTTACTTCTTCCAAGACAAATGTGTTTGTTCTTCTAGCAGTCCATAGTATATTCAGTATTCTTTGCCAACATCATAATTCAAATGCATTAGTTCTTCCTTGGTGCAGCTTTCATATGTATGTAAGACAATTGAAAATACCGTGGCTTGGGTCAGGCACACTTTAGTTGTCAAAGAGACATCTTTGCTTTTGAACACTTTAAAGAGGTCTTTTTGCATCAGAGCTGCCCAGTGTAATACGTCCTTTGATTTCCTGACTGCTGCTTCCATAGGCATTGGTAGTGGATCCAAGTAACATGAAATCCTTGACAACTTCAGTCTTTTCTCTGTTTATCATAATATTGCTTATTGGTCCAGTTGTGAGGATTTTTGTTTTCTCTGTGTTGAGGTATAATCCATACTGAAGACTGTAGTCTTTGATCTTCATCAGTAAGTGCTTCAAGTCATCTTCACTTTCAGCAAGCAAGGCTGTGTCATCTGCATAAAGCAGGTTGTTAATGAGTCTTCCTCTAGTCCTGATGCCATGTTCTTTTTCATATAGTCCAGCTTCTCTGATTATTGGCTCAGCATACAGATTGAATAACTAGTGAAAGGATATAACCTTGACACGCACGTTTCTTGATTTTAAACCATGTAGTATTCCCTTGTTCTGTTAGAATAACTGCCTCCTGGTCTGTGTACAAATTCTGCATGAACAACACAATTAAATGTTCTGAAATTCCCATTCTTTGCATTCTTACCCATAATTTGTTATGAGCCACACAGTCAAAAAATGCCATTGCATAGTCAATAAAGCACAGGTAAACATCTTTCCAGTATCCTCTACTTTCAGCCAGGATTCATCTGACATCAGCAACGATAACCTTTGTTCCATGTCCATAGCAACCTCATTTTTTTTTTTAACTACTGTTGTTGTTGTTAGATGCTGTTGAGTCATCTCTAACTCATAGTGACCTTACGCATAGCAGAACGAAGCACTGCCCGGTCCTGTGCCAGCCTCACAATCCTTGCTATACCTGAGCCCATCATTGCAGCCACTGTGTCTGTCCATCTAATTGGGGCCTTCCCCTTCTTTTTTGACCCTCCACTTTACCAAGCATGATACCCTTCTGCAGGGACTGGTTCCTTCTGACAACATGTCCAAAGTAGGTGAGACAAAATCTGGCCATTCTTGATTCCAAGGAGCATTCTGGCTGTACTTCCTCCAGGACAGATTTGTTAGTCCTTTTAGCAGACATTGGTACTCTTAGCATTCTTCTCCAGTACCACAATTCAAAAGCATCAACTCTTCTTCGGTCATTCTTATTCATTGTCCTGCTCTTACATGCATTGAAGAGACGATTGAAAATACCATGGTTTGGGTTAGGCACACCTTAGTCTTCAAGGAGACATCTTTGTTCTTCATCACTTGAAAGAGGTCCTTTGCAGTAGATTAGCCAAATGCAATACATCCTCTGTGTGTCTTGACTGCTGCTTCCATTGGGAATTCTGGTGGCATAGTGCCTAAGGCATTTGACTGCTAACCAGAAGGCTGGCAGTTCAAACCCACCAGCCGCTCCTCAGAAGGAAGGTTGGGCAATCTACTTCCATAGTGATACTGCCTCAGAAACCCAAGGAGGGGTTGCTGTGAGTCAGATTCGACTCGACAGCAGTGAGTTTTGAGTTTGACAACTTCGATCTTTTCTCCATCCACCATGAAGCTGGATCAGTTGTGAGGATTTTTATGTTCTTTATATTGAGGTACAATCCATACTGCAGACTGTAGTCTTTAATCTTCATTAGTAGGTGCTTCAAATCATCCTCACTTTCAGCAAGGAAAGTTGTGTCGTCTGCATACGCAGGTTGTTAATGAGTCATCCTCCAATCCTGATGCCATGTTCTTCTTCATGTAATCCAGCTTCTCGGACTATTTGCTCAGCATACAAGTGGAATAAATATGGTGAAAGGGTACAACCTTGATGCACTTCCTTCTTGATTTTGAACCATGCAGTATCCCCTTGTTCTGTTCAAACGACAGCCTCCTGATCTGTGTACAGGTTCCTCATGAGTATAATCAAGTGTCTGGAATTCACTTTCTTCTCATTGTTACCAATAATTTATTATAATGCATACAATCAACTGCATTTGCATAGTCAATAAAACATAACTAAACATCTTTCTGGTATTCTTTGCTTTGAGCAAAGATCCATCTGACATCAGTAATGATATCCCTCATTCCATGTCCTCTTTTGAATCCAGCTTGCATTTCTGGAAGCTATCTATAAGTATACTACTGCAACCATTTTTTAATTATCTTCAGTAAGATTTCACTTGCATGTGATATTAATAATATTCGATAATTTCTACATTCTATGGCATCACCTTTCTTTGGAATGGGTACAAATACAGATCTCTTCCAGTCCATTGGCCAGGTAGCTGTCTTCCAAATCTCTTGGCATAACCGAGTGAGTGCCTCTGGTGGGGTATCCGTTTGTTGAAACATCTCAGTGGGTATCCTGTCAATTCCTAGACCCTTGTTTTTCACAACTTCCCTCAGTGCAGCTTCGACTTCTTCAATACTGTTGGTTCTTGATCGTATGCCACCTCCAAAATGGATAAACATTAACCAGTTCTTTTTGGTACAGTGACTCTGTGTATTCCTTTCATCTTCTTTTGATGCTTCCTGCAGCATTCAGTATTTTGCCCATAGAATCTTTCAATATTGCAACTCAAGACTTAAATTTTTTTCCTCGGTTCTTTCAGCTTGAGAAATGCCAAGCGTGTTCTTCCCTTTTGGTTTTCTAATTCCAGCTCTTTGCACGTTCCATTATAGTATTTGGCTTTGTCTGCTCAAGCTGCTCTTTGAAATCTTCTGTTCAGCTCTTTTATCTTGTCATTTCTTCCATTTGCTTTAGCTACTCTCTGCTCAAGGGCAAGTTTCAAAGTCTTTTCTGACATCTATTTTGGTCTTCCTTTCTTGTCTTTTTAATGACCTCTTGCTTTCTTCATGGATGATGTTCTTGATGTCATCCCACAATTCCTCTGGTTTTCAGTCATTGGTGTTTAATGAATCAAATCTGTTCTTTAAGTGGTCTCTAAATTCAAGAGGGATATTGTTATGGTCATATTTTGTCTCTTGTGGACTTGTTTTAATTGTCTTCAACTTCAACTTGAACGTGCATATGAGCAGTTGATGGTCTGTTTCACAATCAGCCTGGTTTTGGCTGAAGATACTGAGCTTTTCCATTTCCTCTTGCCCTAGATGATGTCATTCTGATTCCTTGTGTATCCCATCTG